TCGGGTGATCGACATGCTGATCGCTACTATCAACAACATTTGGAACCCCTGTATGGGGACATGTCCCATGACTAATAATAATAAACGAAATTCCGCATTTTTCAGAATCTGTACATTAAATAACTGTATTTTTAATACAGAAAATCTGTATTTTAAATACAGCAAATCTCAGACTTTGGACAACGCTTCATTGAAATCGTGGTGTAAGTCCAACATTCGATTGATTATATTATTGGAATTCAAGGTTGATGCTCTTTTTAACGTTTTCATAACACCGGCTTTATTTCTCCAGAAGGCTATTACTTCAGGTAATTTCTTTTCTCGCTGAGTATGTATAATTAAAAAAATTTTGGTTGCTCAAAACTTTTAGACGCAACTGGGATTTTCGACTCAACGAGCGGGGATCGACTCGACCTAGCACTTTGAGCAGTTAGCAACGGGCCACAGCAAGGCACTCTCTTAGACTCGACCAAGAAATATTCGGACGCAACCTAGCCTATGCTATGGACCCGAACAAACGAAATATGGCAAAATGAGAAAGAAAGAAAAAAAAATTTTAACCTCGAGTGATCTCAAACATCGTAACGCCAACTCTTTGGCGGATTCATCGTTACGAGTTTCTAATAACTCCGGACTTTGGATAATCTCTTCCAAACAATTTTATATGTTCTGTGCTCCTCCTTTTTTCCGAAATCGCTTATATGCACTATACTCCAATGCAAAAAATCTATCAGGTTCCACGCTTCGTTCTTCTTGAAGTACGGAACCCTTAGCGTCCAACGTTCACTTTCTTGAGTGGTCATTATAACACAATATGATTCTAAGGGATAAAAAAATTGTCGCTTCAAATTTATTTCTTGTGATATTCACGTGCATAATTAAAATTAGATCCGGATACTATTACTATTCCGGGATCTTAGGATCAAGCTCGCAAATGCGCATTTCTACACCATAAAGCATTAATCAAGGTTCTTTCGGCCATGGCAATGATCAAGGTAATGTTTTATGCTAGATCCTCAGCAAGCCATTGAAAATTATTTTCTACCCGGAAATGTTGCAGAAATTATTCAATACGATGCCTTCCATTTTATTATACCTTGAATGTTATGCTTATTTTTTACTTTTGGTGAGTTGTGAACACGCAAGTAAGGTATAAATATTTCAATTATAACAGTCGCATCTGGCACTGCGCGTCAATGAATCAACTTCTGGGCTTGCAAACCAATAATTACTCTTTCGTACAAATTTCTGAAAATTTGCAGAAGGCAGGAACATGAACTTTCAGCAGGTTAATATTGCCAATTCATTTTGATAAAGCTCCGGCAATTACATAAGTCGTAGCTGGGTAATGTAAAATATTCGCGTGATGTCACTTCTTGTTAACCTTCCAATATTTTTTCGCAAACATCTAACGTTTTGGCAGTTTTTTTTTTTCACTTTTATTTTTACAGGTATAACTGATAACCATTTTTTATTCTATCCAGAATATCGATAACAAATGACCGGATTATAAACTTATAGTGTAGGCTGTCTTGAGATCTAAGATTCTTCCCCGGTTCTTTTCACTAATATAGTTTCTTTATGTACGCTATCCAGGAAATCATTAATTTTCTTCTCTTCCGATGATGTAGTTTTTATAGGAATAGGCGTAATACTAGAATTGAAGTGTTATCAGGCATATTAGATGCCGGAATATCGTTAGAATTTTTCATTTCGCGGCAGAGATTTTATTACCTGAATATTGACCGATTCCCTTGGCATCATCATCTGATTTAACAATAAAGTTATTCTTTTCATCGGTTTGCGATTGCTTCTGTTCTAATTTCACAACCCTAGCTTTAAGTTCAGCATTTTCAACAGCAGTATCTTTATCATTCTGCTCCAGTTTCATAAATTTGGATTCATGTTCTTCCAAAGCTTGTTTTAATTTTACGTTCTCAGCTTTAAGTTCAATGTTCTTGGCCTCAACTTTGGAAAATTTTCTTCTAAGTTCGGGAATTTCGGCATTCTCCTTTCTAATATTAGTAATCTTATCTAAGAACTTCGAATTTAGTTCTTTCAAAGAATCAATTACAGCTTGTTGGTTTGTCTAATTCAAAAGTGAATTTATAAAAAATTATCATGTAACAACACCATACAAAAATTAATTATCGGAAAAAAGAATGACCATTTAGGTCTAACTGTTTTATTGATACAGTATAAGATACATGAAGGCGGGTAAACTATCTACCAGCTATTTCTTGGTAATTTTTTCTTGTACACGTCGCTTCTTGGATTCGGGTTCATCACAAGCGAAAATTCTATCTATCCCACAATTATACCGATTATCTGTTTTATATCATCCCTTAAATTTGCATAATTTCCCTTAAGTAGCTTTTTCATAGCTTATCGAACAAGCTCTTGCTAATAATATTGGATTTAGATGTTGTGTCGATTAACGCTTTAACTGGGATTTTTCCTTCGACAAGGGTATTTATGAACATGTTAAATATATTTAATGATATATATTATAACCGAAAAAATAACTGAGTTCGGATAATTAATTTTAGGCATATATACTATGCATTTTCTTAATTACACTTAACCTCGCAACTAGTTCCATCGAGTAATGTAAGAGTTTTATTTGAGAAGTCCAGCTTCATTGCATTACTAACAACAAAAATATCGGTAACTTTTACTTGTTTCCATTTAGGGCCCGACAGGATTGAAATGGGGATTTCACGAATTACTCCTACTACATCGAGTTTGCCAATGGGTGTGTATACTTCTACATCAGAGATATCATCGATTTCTAAACCTAATTCATTTACTACCTCCTCAGCTATAATATTACAATTAGCAACGGAACCTAATATAGTTGTAACTGGTACTTTATTAAGTTCGCAGGATAAAGTTGTCATTATGATGCTTTATTATAAACATATATTTTTTCTGTGCATTAATAATAAATCAATTAAAATCCAATGGCTAAAAATAGCTGTGAAACAGTTGCCTCTGGCAATAATACCTCGAAATTAGTATCTAAAATTGTTAGACAGATATCACATAGAAGAATTTCGATTTCTCTCCGCCAACTCGATAGCAAACCGGATATTTCTCGAAGAAATCGTACACCATGTAAGGCTAAAAAAAGAATAATTTTTAGTGATACTGCATCTTCATCCTCATCCTCTGGGTCTAGTTATGAATGGTCTAATGATGAAGATTTTGCTATAAATTTAACTTTTTTCGGTAACACAAAACGCTAGTTATATATAAATATTATCATATTACTAGCTGACACACTACAATTTTTGTAAATATGTTTCACTAACTTCAGTATTAGTTTACGGTAATTGCATTGCTTGTTATTATTATTATTATGTCAATATCTGCATTTAATTGCAAATTTAAGGGGTGTCGGCGACTATCGAATAGTACCCCGGATTTAAAATTCGATTTCTCAACGAAAGAGCAAGATATTCGGGTAATATTTTATAAATACGATAGCTTCTTTTGCACTTTTAAATGAGTGTAACTAAGCGTAAATTAATATGTGAATTAATTTTTACCGATTTTTTAAATATTCGTGTCGCGTAACCTAGTTTTACCTTTTTCGTAGAATAAAAGTCGGCTCTAGGTAATTCGTAATTTTACTACCTAACAAATTTGTGTATATTAATATATACCTCCCCTACCAGATATGGTAACGCTTCGAGTTACTAAATTTGGTAAGAGAGATACACAGTCAGTCTCGATAAGTCGGCCTCTCGATAAGTCGGTAAATTCTCGATAAGCTGTAAGTCGGCCAACAGCTCCAAACGAGTCTTAGTTGAATGCATCTCGATAAGTCAGCCTCACGTGATAGTTGTATAACGTAGCACGTATTCCTTCAATCTTTAACTGGCGATCTCACAGCTCATACGATAATTAATAACAGATTACCGTATGATGCCAATAATGTGTTAAACAAAAGTCGTCATTAGATCATACGATTAAAGCAGTAAACATGTCATTGGAAG